ACCTGAGTCATGCAGGCATGCCGACGCTGCGGAAGAACACGCCAGAGCATGCCCTTCAGGGCCAAGAGCTCACCTGAGGACCTGTAACATCCAGCACTACAACAACACCAAAGAAAACTAACACTCAGGCAGAGTAAACGGGAAAGGCAGTAAAATGCTTTGGATAGCATGAATGATGTAAATTACAGTGTCATGCAAGAGGACTGGCATTTCAGCCAAGTGTGTGAAGCTCGGCAGGTCGGGATGCCAAGCCTGGTATCAGAAGTTCAAATCCCAGGGCCAGCTGAGTGATTTCACCACTAGGCTCTTGAGCAAGGCCTTTAACCCCAATAGCTCCAGGGAGTGTCTGACCCTACTTTCTCAACTGTATGTTGCTTTGGATAAAAGTTTCTGATAAATAAAATGTAATGTAATGTGAATAGTACATTGCAGGCTGCTCTGGTACGTTTTCCTTGAATTTGACATTTTTCTGCTCAATTTCCCAGTTTAATTTTCCCTGGAACTTATACCTTTTCTACCTCTGGATTTCAGGAACATCTCGCATGCTCGTAAGGTACCTCTGCTTTGAACACCTTACCAGGGCTGCAAATGTTATTTATTATTTCAGGCTAGAAGCCCAGGCCGGGCGAAGGTCAGGGCAGTCAGCGATGGCATGGACTGTTTCAGTCAATACACAGTCAATACCCATCGTCAAGGTTCAGTTCCTGTAGAACTTAAACACATCCCTTAAACCTTGCTGACAGCAGAATGAGCAGATCTGATAAAATCAATTTTAATTAGTGGCTATTCAATAGGAGTCAGACCTGATTACATACAAGAGCGCCATCAGCTACAGGTGGGTAGCAGTATCTATCCAGCTACCTCTGATAAAACTTAGATTCCTTGATGTGCCCATGGAGACAGTGCAGGATGTTCTTCTGAATCAGGCCTAGAAAAATTCCTTTTGCCGGGAGAGACTTCTCTGCCCTCCCAGAACCTTGGCTTAGCAATTCCCGCACACCTGCTCTCCGCTGCCCACGCCTGCTGGTGATTGCAATACACATGGTTGGGAGCTGGAGCATGCTCCGGTCCAAGAGGTGCGTCTGCCTTTAATCGATTGCATATTACTGAGCCAATCGCGAGCGGTTGTTGCCCCCGAGAGCCAATCACAGTTTTCAGCACATAAAGAGCATGGAGCCGCCAAGTCAAACAGTTGTCTTATGATGAATATGCATCACCAGAGACACGAGAAGCATGCAGGTCATTAGGGCATCATCACAGAGTCTGCAGTACCTCTTTGAAAACACTGGATGACTTTCCACTGGTTTCAACAGGTTCTTAATTCCTAAAGGCTTTATCCTATCCAGTTACGCCTGACCCCAACCCACGCGCTGAGTGCCTGGGGAGGCAGACAGCCCACCTGGGGCTCTCAACACTGGAGAGTGTCATTGTTTTCCTGCAAACATCTGCAGCCATGGACTGCTCTAAGGCGAGAGGAATTTCACGTCAGTAAGGATGACGGTTCGACAGCGACCCGAACGTCACCACCAGAGACCCAACTGCACAACTGGAGAGAGACGCGTGGATATTTCTAGCAGACCAGTAGAAGCCAAGCACCTCTGACCGCAGTGGACCTGCAACAGCCGTCCTCAAGCTGAAGGAACGCCATCAGAGAGCCTCCCTGTTTTCATGGAAACTGACATATTTTGCTACTGGCTGAATGAGTGTTAATTTTTTAAATTCTTGTGTGAATCCATAGGCCATAAAAACATTGGATCAGGGGTTTATGATCAATAGGTGACCAGCAAACCCTTCCTGCCAGGGCCCAAGGTCAAATATTAAGACTGGGACAATGTGAATTGGGACTTTGTCATCTTGTTCTGCCAGCCCCAGGAGGATGGGCTCCCGCCCTCTGAGTCTGGCCCCTCCCAAGGTTTCTTCCTTCTAGGGAGTCTTTCCTTGCCACTGTCGCCTCCGGCTTGCTGATTGGGGGCTTTGGGAGGGGATAACGTAAAGCAGTTTAAGACAATGTAATGTTGTGAAAACGCACTATACAAATAAAACTGAATTGAATTGACCCTGGACCTCCTGGAACTGGACGAACGAGTGAGCTTTGTCACACATAGACCTGGGGGATGCCAGGCCTAAGAGCAGGGCCAATCAAATGCCCTCATAGATTAAATCCCAGTGACATATTACTCTCTAAACATCTGTGGAAAAGAAAATCTTCAGTAAATAACTGATGCAATAGTCAATGCATTAGGTAAACAATAAACTAAAGACGAATCATAAAATTTAACCATGAATAAAAACTAAATAAAAGTTTGGTTTGTCACTGCCAGTGATTTCATGCACATGAGAGTATGTTAGTGTCTGCATGTTGTACTATGGTCCTTGGGGAACGTTAATCTTTGATGCTGTACACCTGTACATGGACGACATGACAATAAGCCCACTTGACTCGACTTGACTTGTATGTTTAGGGAATCATACATATAGTTCAATGTTTTGCATGCACTGATCTGCACTTGTCACTGGTAACTGAGTGACTGCCTTTCACTATTCAGGTGAGGGGCATTTAACACCTTTACAAACACTGACTACCAGATGTTTTCCCCAGGGTCCATTTCCCTTGATCGCTTTTCCACTGCTGGGATCTCCGTGAGCCTTCAGCCCTTCCCAGGGAACAGAGGATGTGATAAACAGCATTCCAATACGTACTTTTATATGGAGCTGAAAGGACAGCCAGCACTTCAATATTTTAATTTTATATATATGTAAAAAATGTACACAGATGCTGTGAACATTACCTATGTTTGATGCCTCAAATGAAATGGGGGGTATTTTGGGGCTATTCAGAATGCAATCACAAACAAAACAGTAACGCAGTGTATTGACAACACACTGGACGTCGACCAGTAATCCTGACCAAAGAGGAATAATCCCACAACAAATCCCTACATGGGGTATAATTATGACCAGACAGAAAAAATCCCACAATAAATCCCCACATGGGGTGTAATCATAACCACAGAGGAATAATCCCTCAATAAATCCCCACATGGGGTGTAATCCTGACCACAGAGGAATAATCCCACAATAAATCCCCACATGGGGTGTAATCCTGACCACAGAGGAATAATCCCACAATAAATCCCCACATGGGGTGTAATCCTGACCACAGAGGAATAATCCCACAATAAATCCCCACATGGGGTGTAATCCTGACCACAGAGGAATAATCCCACAATAAATCCC